GATATGTGCTCTATGTCATCAGAAACTGGGTTTACTTTGTGTCCACATTCTTTCTGTCAGGCTTGAGGAGATGCTTTCTGCTTTCCTGAGCCTCCCTGGCTAGGACCCCACAGCCCTTCATACTGGACAGGGTGGTCTCTGTCCATGTCCTGCTCCCTCCCTCCTGCTCCCTCCTAGGCAGCCCTTCTCCTCAGGTGCTGGACCTGCCTGTGGAAGGTTGACAATGAGAGGTCATCACCAAACTTGAGGCCTCATTTCAATGCTTTTCTGTTTCGCATTGTTAACAACAGCTGACAGTGTTTTTTACTCCCTCCTGGCTTGAAAATGCTTTGTTTGTAACATATTTATTTATTTATTTTTTTAAAGATTGATTTGTGCATACAAGAACTGGGGTGTGCGGGAGGGTGAGAGGATTCACCAGAGACAAAGCAGGGAACAGAACAGGCAGACTGACTGAAATACACTGCTGAGGGGAGCAGCGGGCAAGCCAGGAGAGGTCTGCTGCGCCATGTGGGTGTCTCCCTGGCCAACCGGAAATCAAACCTGCGCTGCAGAGGCTCAGGACAGCTTCACAGCACTGTGCTCAACTGGCTGTGCCAAGGGGAGGCCCAACATTTTTATTTTGATAGTGAATACAGTTTATATCCTAAGAAGTGTACTGTATGTATGTGTGTATACGTACACACACACACACACACACACTCTAACCAAAATAAAGCAGGTCTTCCTAAATTTTGAAAGGGACATGGTCGTCAGGCTCAGCGCAGAGCTGAAGGGCTGGCCTCCGTGTCTGCTCTGGACAGGGCCATCACAGCCCTTCCTCCCTCCTCAAGATGCTGTTCTCTGTGGGGCCCACGTAGGGTCTCCCCCTTCTTTACTGGGTGTGGGCATTCCTTACTATATTGTCAGTTCTAATGCCTTTTTTTTTTTTTATTTGTTTGTTTTTGTTTATACATGCACTGGGTACAGTCAGAAGCGCGGGAGGGTGAGAGAATTCACCAGAGCCAGAGTGGGGAGCAGAGCAGGCAGAAAGACCGAAGCACACTGCTGAGGGGAGCAGCGGGTGGCAGGAGAGGTCTGCGCGCCATATGGGACCCTCCTCTGGTGGCCGGGGAGCAGCCGGGGATCGAACCGGCGCCGCAGAGGCCGCTGGCAGCTTCGCAACCCAGCGCTCAACCGCTGCGCCACCAGGGAGGCCCTCTAATGCCTTTTTTTAAAAAAGATTTATTTATACAAGAACCGGGGTACAGGCCAGATGTGCAGGAGGGTGAGAGGAATTACCAGAGACAGAGCGGGGAACAGAACAGGCAGACTGACGAAATACACTACTGAGAGGAGCAGTGGGCGAGACAGGAGAGGTCTGCAGTCCATGTGGGACCCTCGCTGGCCAGCTGGATGGAACCGGGGCTGCAGAGGCTGCAGACAGATTCACAGCAGCGGTGCTCAACCTCCTGGGCCACCAGGGGAGGCCCAGTTCTAATGCTTTTAAGAAGGTGGTTTTGTATCTTATATGTATCTCACATTTTTAGCTCTTTTCAGTGGGAAGGTGTCCATCCATCCAGCCCACCTTTGTCAGGTGGAAATTCTAAGGCAAAAGCATTCAGTGACAAGATGACGGGTCCTAGAGTAGAAGGTCAGAGCCTGAGAACATATGATTGAGGAGGAAGTGCCAAGTGTTTGATAAGTGTCAGGTATTGTGTAATTTATTTTTGATAATAAATGATTTTCATAATAACTAATATTTGCTATTCACGATCACACAGATGATTCATAAATACTCAAGAACATACACAAATACGTAAGTCACATCATTCTCAGTCAACCAAGTCGCCTCTACTCTGAATCCACTATAGTCAGCAACTTCTCATTTTCTCCCCAGAAAAGTCTATGTATGCATTGATGTGTTAGGTCTGTAAAGAGCTTGGACCACAGACGAGGAGAATATATTTGCAAAATATGACTAAAATAATACATGTTTTAGAATATGCATGGAACCCTTAAAATTCAACAAGGAACAAATAACTTTCTAAAACTGAGCAAAACTCTGAACAGTTTCCAAGGACTACATTGATGGCAACTAGGCATATGAACAGAAACTCAACATCATATGCTGACATATGTAAATGCAAGTGCAAATTAAAGCAACATGGACAAGCAATGCACACCTATTATATGGCCTAAATCCAATCCTAGTACAGCAGCCCCCCTTTATCCACATGGGATGTATTCCAAGACCCCCAGTGGATACCAGAACCACGAATAGTATGGAGCGCTCTGTATATGAAGATTTCCCTGTATCATACATATGATGATATATGTATCATACATATGATACATTTACTTTATAAATTAGGCACTGTGTGATTAATAACTTTAAAACAGGACAATCAATCACAACAATGTACTGTAATAAAAGTTGTGTAACTGTGATCTCTCTCTAAATATCTTATGAAAAAAAATTTAACCTAGTTTAATTTCGGGAAACTGAAGCCTTGGAAAGTGAAACCTCAGAAAAGGGGTGACACTAGGCACCAGGTGCTGATCAGGATGGGGAGCAACAGGGACCCCCATTCACTGCTGGAGGAAATACAAAATAATACAGTCACTATGGAAGAAATAATAACTCATTCTTATTAAGTGAAACACAGAGTTACCCTAAAACCTGCTTATCACTCCCCTGATTATTTACCCAACTCACTTGAAGACTTGTTCACACAAAACCTGTACAGAAATGTTTATAGCAGAGCAGCCTTTAAGTGTGGGCGCCATATGGTGATGCCTTCCAATGGCTGCTGTGTGTAAAGGGACACAGGAAAGAAAGAACTTCTCAGGGAGGAAGTGGAGACCCGACCTCAGCCAGGTGGGTGTAGGGGCAAGATGGGCACCGAACAGGTTTTCTGATCCAGCAGATGGGTAAAGTAGAGTCTTGGAGCCCTCAGTGGATTTCTCAGGCTTTTACTGAGCTGTTACATATAGAGCAGCAACCAGGTACACGGCATGTAGGGGTGCCCGGGAGCCAGGAGACCGGTAGGCCTCCAGTCCCCAGGCAAGCCTTCACTCTGGGCTTCTCTGGCCTCTTTCTCTCCTCCTCTCTCTCTTGCTTCTTCTCTTGCTTCTGCTTCTCTGGTGACTATCTCCATACCCCTCCCATGGCACACAGAAGTAAATAAGATATTTTGCAACAATGTAACAACTGTAGGTGCCCAATCAGGCAGGGCAACCCTAATGGTGGGAGGGCAGAAAAGCCTGAAAACCATTTACCCTACAGTGGGGAAGGTGACATCATCAGTGAGGATCAGGTGCAAGGTGACTCTAGAGGGTGCTGTGCTGAGAGTGGCCCTTCATGTTTGTTTTTCCCCCAACCCCATCACCTCAGTCAACCAAACTCAATTTTTTTCTTTGATTTCCTCATTAACCTACAGATTTTTCAGCAGCATGTTGTTCAGTCTCCATGTAGTGGGCAATCTCCTTGCTTTCTTTTCATGGTTTATTTCTAGTTTGATATCTTTATCATCTTAGGAGAGACTTGGTATGAATGCAGTCTTCATGTATTTTTTTTTAAAAGATTTATTTATTTTTACAAGGACTGGGGTATAGGCCAGAAGCGTGGGAAGGTGAAAGGGTTCACCAGAGACAGAGAGGGGAGAAGAACAGGCAGACAGACCGAAAACACTGCTGAGGGGAGCAGCAGGTGAGATAGGAGAGGTCTGCTGCACCATGTGGGTAGATCCCTGGCTGGCCGGGGATCAAACTGGTGCTGCAGAGGACTTGGACAGCTTCACAGCACTGCCCTCAACCCGCTGCACAACTGGGGAGGCCCAATCATGTATTTTTGATGTTTGTGTTGTGACCCTTTGTGTGGTTCATCCTGGAGAATGATCCACTTGTATTTAAGAAAAATGTGTATTCAGGTTTTGTTTTTGTTTTTTTTTTTTGAGGGGGTAGCAGTGTCCTATAGATGTTTATTCCGTGTGATCTAGATTTTTAGAGCTATTGCATCCTTGCTTATTTTCTGTCTTATTGCTCTGTACCTTGGTGAGAGTGCAGTATTGAAGTCTCCTACCACCTGTGTTTTCAGAGCTGATAGTAATTATCTAATGTATTTTCGTGCTCCCTTTTTTGGTGAGTATATACTGATGAGTGTTATGACTTTCTGGTGTATAGTCCCCTTGATCAATTTATAGTGTCCTTTGGTGTCTCTTGCCACCTTTGTTAGTTGGAAGTCTATTTTATCTGGTATGAGTATGGCTATCCCTGTTTTGGGGCCTTGTTTTAGGGCCACTTGTTTGTAGAATTGTTTTCCAAACCTTTTCTTTCAAGCTATGCTGATCTTTAGCACTTAAGTGTGTTTCCTGGAAGCAGCAGGAGTTTGGGTTCTGTTTTGAATCCAGCATGCTACTGGTGAATTTAGTCCATTAACACTTAGATACATGGATGTCTCTTGCTGCTATTTGGTGATAGTTTTGTGATTTTCTTCACTACCTTGTTTAGTTCTTCCTGTTCATTACTCTGATGGTTTAGATTTTAAGGCTTCTTGTAATATTTCTTGGAGTGAGGATTTAATCATAATGAATTTCTAAGATTGTGTTTTTATAAGAAGGTTCTTAACTTTCCCTCATAAAGGAAGGTGAGCTTTGCAGGATGAAGTATACTTGGTTCTTTTCCACCATGTTGTTGATATCATTCTCTCAAACCTAATAAATTTAAAAGGACATAAATAATATAACACATGTTCACATACAGGGCATGGAATTCAATAACTAAATGAAATGTGGGAAACTCACAAATATGTGGAAATGCACTTCTACATAACCAAAAGATCAAAAAGAAATCAAAATGGAAATTAAAAAATACTTTCAGAATAGTGATAATGAAGAAACTGCATGTCAAAATGTATTGAATGTATTAAAGGCTGTAGAGGGAAGTTTATAGCTGTAAGTGACTAAATTAATAAAGAAAATTCTATAATCAATAACCAAAAGGTCCACTTCTTTCTTTAGAATTTTTTTGAATATTTATTTATTTATGCATACAAGAACTGGGGTACAGGCCAGAGGTGTGGGAGTGAGAGGATTCACCAGAGGCAGAGTAGGGAACAGAACAGGCAGATTGACTGAAATACACTGCCAATGGGAGCCGTGGGCGAATCACGGGAGGTCTACTGTGCCATGTGGGTAGCTCCCTGGCCTGGGATCAAACTCATGCTGCAGTTGCTGTGGATAACTTCATAGGTTGTGTCTTAACTCCTTGTGCCACCAGGGAAGCCCAAAAGGTCCTCTTTAAATCAAAGGAAAAAGAGGAGCAAGCTAAATGCAAAACAAAGGAAGGAAAAAAATAAGTCAGAAATGAATGAAATAGAGAAAACTGACACAATACTTTAAAGTAAGTCAAATGTGTTCTTTTGAAAGTTCAATGAAACTGACATTTTCCAGTAGACACACTGTAGGGTAAATGATTTTCAGGCTTTTCTGTTCTCCTTCCATTAGCATTGCATGCCTGATGGAGGGCACCTAGATTTTGTTACATTGTTAAATTCAGATGTGTTTTTTACTCTTGTGGGCCATGGCTGCGGTATTGATATATTGGCCAAGAGAAGCAGAGGCAGGAGGGAGAAAAGGAAAGAGAACACCAGAGAGAAGGGCCAGAGAGCCCAGAAAAGAGTGAAAATTGGTAGGAGCTGGGAGGCCTGCCAGCCTCCTGGCCCCCTGGCATCCCTGCCTTCCATGCACCTGGTTGCTGCACTGCATGTAAAAGCTCAATAAAACCTGAGAAAGCCACTAAGGGCTCCATGGCTCTCCTTTACCTGGTCTGCTTGAATCAGAGAGAATCATAGAAAACCAGCTCTGTTCCTGTCCTGCCAGTACACACACTAAAAAAAAGGAAAAAAAGAATCAACCTTCAGGAATGTAGTGAAGGAGGGACTTTATGTGGCCGTACAAAAATAAAGAGAATTATAAAGAACTCTATGAAAAAGGATATGCCAAGTATTAGAGAATTAGATATAAGACAGATTCATAGAAATGTATCAACTACTAAAGTAGTTTAAGATGAAACAGGCAATCTAAACATACCTATAAAAATTACAAGATTGAATCAGTTTTTAAAAACTACCCACATATAAAGCTCTGGCCCAAATGTCCAAAAACTTCCAAAATGTAGAGGTGTTAAAACTACCCAATTCATTATATGAGGCCAAAATTGTTCAGATACTATTAGGGGGAAAGGATGTCCTGAGCAAATTCCATACAGGCTTTGTGGACTCCACCCCCACTGCATCAAGACACTGGAAACTACAAATCCCATGACCACCAAAGGGAGGGTTGCGAGGACCTGAGAGCAGAGTTAAGCAGCCATGTTTTCTGTTTAGCTATTTAACCAGCCATGTGAGCGGGGTTCTGCCTCTTGGCCTCAAGGTGCTAGGCTTTTAGCCAGCTATCAGCAGGTCATTTGGGATTCCAGGTCAGCAGAAGGGGTAGGACGCATTTACAAATTTATCTCCCTCCTTTTCTCCCTGAGTTATCCATTTCCTCATTTCCCCTTTCCTTGTAAATAAACCTTTGATTAACCTTTAGTGCATGCCTGCAGTTTAAGTCCCCTTTAAGCATGCAGGTGAGGACCCACAGTCAGGCAACCCATTTTATATTGGGGTTGCTCTGTAACAATACCAGAACAGATCAAGTTGTCACAAGAAAAGAAAACTGCAGGCCAATATCTCTTATGGATATAAGCTCAAGAAATACTCAACAAAATATAGTAAATCCAATCCAGCAACATATAAAAAGAATTATGTGGAATAACTATGTAGAATTTATTCCAAAAAATAAGTCTGCGTTAACATAAAATTCAATTACTGTAATACACCAAACCAATGTAATAAAAAAGAAAAACTCAAGCTTATTTCACAATGTGTTCTAAAGGATTTGACAAGAAGAGACTGGCAAGTTGGCAGCAAAGTGAAGACACCGGCCTCACCGCTGTTTTTTTTTTTAAAGAATTTCTTGCATTTTATTTATTTATCTATTTATTTATCTATCTATCTATTTATTTATTAATTTATACAAGTACTGGGTACAGTCAGAAGCACGGGAGGGCGAGAGAATTCACCAGAGCCAGAGCAGAGAACAGAACAGGAAGACTGACGAAACACACTGCTGAGAGGAGCAGCGGGCGTGGCAGGAGAGGTCTGCACACCATGTGGGACCCTCGCCTGGTGGCCAGGGATTGAATGGCACTGCAGAGGCTGCAGGGAGCCTCGCAACCCAGTGCTCAACCGCTGCGCCACTGGGGAGGCCCTCACCTCCTTCTTATATTCACACTAAATTACAGCAGAACAAATTCATAACCACTGAAGGATAAACAGATAAACCAACATTTGCAGAATGCGACATGAACAAAAGTCCAGCAGAGCAGGGTGGGGAAATCTTTAATTGAACTGTGTGTGCAGTGATACAGGGAATACAAATCATAAGAGGGACCCTCCACAGGGCTTAACAGGTCTCCACAGAGACCCTCCACAGTGGCTTAACCCACTTTGGGGACTTTGGAGATCCAGCACTGGGGACTTTGGAGGTGGGGCACAGAGTGGGGCTCCAGGACAGGGGATGCACTATTGGAGAACCACAGGGGCAGGGTGCAGAGTGATGACTGATGAAACTGATGCTCCCAATATAGAACAGCTGGAGCCCAAACTGGGGGGGGAAGAGCCAGATGGATTCACTTGCCTCTCCTCTAAGAGACTGTTCTTTGTAGTGAGAGGTTGTGATAGTCAAAACACAACTAAATACATCCACTAAATGGTTTATTATCAACTGGATTTTAACCCAGGAGAAAGCAACCCAGGCTAAAGCTGCGCAACAGAAAGCTCAATTTGTGTCCAGTGCTGAATTAAGTTCTCAAACTTAGCATAGGGGTTCAAGTTAGCATAAGTCTATTCAAGATATTTAGGGTGAGGAGTTGCCCTAGAGGAGGGGATCACTGTGGACCCCTCTCCACAACTCTGGTACCTACAGCACAGGAGGAAGCTTGAGTCCCTGACACTCACTGGAGCTGATTCTTCAGGCCTCCTGCCCTGGGTCCTCTCCCCCATTACTCCTTATCAGTGACAGTTCTCCTGTCACCCGAACAGGTATAAAGAGGGTGGTCTGCAATTTAACACTGGTATCTGCTATAAACACTACAATGGGGCCTCCCCGGTGGCGCAGCGGTTGAGTGCTGGGTTGTGAAGCTGCCCACAGCCTCTGCGGTGCCGGTTCGATCCCTGACTGCTCCCCGGCCACTAGAGGAGGGTCCCGCATGGCGCTCAGACCTCTCCTGCTGCCCGCTGCTCCCCTCAGCAGTGTACTTCGGTCCTTCTGCCTGCTCTGCTCCCTGCTCTGGCTCTGGTGAATTCTCTCACCCTCCTGCGCTTCTGACTGTACCCAGTGCTTGTATAAATAAATAAATGAATCTTAAAAAAAAAAAAAAGATAATGTTTCCCTTATTTGTTAAAAAAAAAAAAAAACACTACAATGAAGAGACAGAAGAACAAATCACAAATGATGGAGCAAACAACAACCAAATCCCCGAATTAAGCCTCAATCCAGCAGAACTGTAGTATCTGCCTGAAGAGGAATTCAAGTGAACAGTTATAACAACACCACTGAACTTGAAAAAAAAATTGCATGACGTAAATCAGGAACAGAATAAAGACGGAGAAAATATGATACTGTTATACAGTTAGATCAAAAATATTAACATTAAAAAATACAGGGGTTCAATAACAGATTAACACAAGTAATGGAGAAAATTAATGAACTCAAAAAGGGTAACATCAGAGAAAACACAAATAAAACAACTAGTGGAAAAAAATTTAAATGAAAATAGTGTAAGACCGGGAGAGTGTAGCCCCTGAACCATTCTTGGAAGTCAGGGACCGCACGATTCCCCTCTGGAACTGAGAGAGTGGGCTCCACAAACAAAGGTGAGCAGGACAGCGTGCACACAGAGCAAGGCTGCTGCAGGCCCCACACACCATTTTGGACTGAGTAGAGACAGGCAGAGATCCGCCATTAAGGTGAACTGTGGGCACTGGGAGAGTGCAGCCCCTGCACCAGTGTTGGAAGCCAGGGACCCCCATAATCCCCTTCTGGAACTGAGTAAATACAGAGGGAGGGGATCTTCAGCGCCCATCAACATATCCACAACATCACTACCCTTGTGGAGTCCACCATAACAGTGCTGGACTCATTCTGGCCACCAGTTCCCAAATCCCAGAAGAAGCACCCTAAAGCAATCCCTACAAGAACCAGCAGGACAATGTCTCAATGCATAGAACAAAGTAGAAAACAAACAACAGGGAAAAGGGAAAAAGAAACAAATAACCAAGCAAGTCCTCAGGGCAAGGATACACCACAAAAAGAAAATCAGCCACCAGAACTCAACAATGATGACTTGGAAGAACTTCTCTGCCTGCCAGATGGAGAATTTAAAATTGTCATGATTAAAAACATAAAGAAGATGAAAAAGGAAAAGAATGACATGAGAAATATAATTAATCAATTGAAGAATGAACTTGAGACCTGAAAGAAGAAAATGAAGGAAGATATAACCTATGAAGCTATCCGCAGCCACTGCAGCATGAGTTCAATCCCTGGCCAGGAAGCAGCCCACATGGCACAGCAGACCTGTCCTGACTCGCCTGCTGCTCCCCTCAGCAGTGTGTTTCAGTTGATCTGCCTGTTCTGTTCCCCACTCTGTCCCTGGTGAATCCTCTCACCCCCTGCACCTCTGGCCTGTACCCCAGTTCTTATATGCATAAATAAATAAATCTCAAAAAAAAAATACAACCTTCTGTCTCAAGAAAACACATCTATCAGTGAACAGAAGATTTAAATTGAAATGTTAAATAAGAAAATAACAGAATTGGAGAAAGCCATGGAAGTAGAATAGACTGAGTGCAAGATTGTATCAGTGATCTGAAAGATGCAACTGGGGGAAGACTCAAGATACAAAAATGATAGATATAAAAGGAAAAAAAATAAATACTTCAAGAATTATCCATGAGAAAAGGAAATATAAAATTTGTAGGCATCCCAGAAGGAAAAGAGAGAAAGAAGTTAACTGAAAAATTATTTAAATAAATAATAGAAGAAAGCTTCCTGAACTTGAAGAAGGAACTAATACAAATACAGGAATCTAAGAGAATGCCAATCCACCTACATGAAAGGAGACCTACAGTGGGACATACAGTAGTGAAACTTCTCAGAGTTAATGCAAAGAAAGAATAATAAAGCTGACAAGGGAGAAGAAACAGATAACCAACTGCTGCAGGGGGCCTTGTTGGCCCAGCCAGATAAGACACTGGCAAGCAGCTAAGAAAAAGGGCCTCACACTGTGGGGCTGAAGATCTAACATTCCTTTGCTTTTTGTTCTTGGTAATAAAAAAATTTATTAGAAAGTATATTAGGCAATAAATTATACATATCAGCAGACTGTAAGTAAATGGCACAGAAAAGTATCTGTTTAAAAATTATTTATTAAACAATTTGGCCCACTTGACAATGGGAGACAATTTATTGAACATGCCTGACAAGCATTACAACACAATAATTATAGTAGGTCCCTCTTTTGTCTTCTCTTGAAGTTTCTTGGGAAAGTTTTTAAATGAAGCTATTTGAGTTAAGGAGTTTCTAGGTAGAAAAAGTTCTGATAGCTGAGTAGCAGCCGGTCCTGGCTGAAGGCCATGCGAATAAGAAAAGTCTTTTGATGCTTAGGCTTTAGCTGATAGGGGTGTACTGGCAGCTATCCACTGTCTTAGGTAATGGTCTAGCTGAAATAATAGGTTTTAGTGTTAGGTTTGGTTTTTTATCTATTAACCTTGAAGGCTACTGTCTAGCTGAGACCCGTAGAAGCCAGGAGTCCATGGGAATAAAATACACTAATTGTTCCTGCTTTGCACATGATGATGTAAAAATGAATAAAGACCTGCTGAGTCTCTCGGCAGAAGATGCTTGCACCTCATCCAGTGTCAGTGTCTCCTCACTACCTCATCCCCTTCCCCTCAGCTCCTTTTGCTTCACCTAGGCCGTCTCCTCCTTTCAGGGACTCCTGACATGACATTTTACCGAAAGCTGGTCTCCAACAACCAACTCTGCACTTAGTTGTTAAATTTTCTAAGTTTCCTATAATCCAGAAAAGTTACTCAGCCTTTCTTGACCTTGATATTTTGGAAAAATAAAGATCAGATTTATGTAGAATTCTTTCAATGTGTGTATATCTTATGACTGGATTCATGTCAGAAAGGCATGGTGATAGTTTGTCATATTTGTGAAGTTAGCATAATCACTTGCTTAAAGTAGTCTTCACCAGGTTTTAACCATAAAACTGCTATTTTCCCCTTTGTAATTAATTATCTGGAGGCAGATATTTGGAAGGTACGCAAATATCCTGCTCCTTAATTTTTCCACTTAGATTTTAAGCATCTATTAATGATTTCCTAAATCCATCATTTATTTTACCTTTATTGACTTTCTACTTTAAGTACTACTAAAGTCCTCACCTCACTTAGCTAATTAATTAACTAATTTAATATCAGTATTGATTCGTGGATATTTGTTTCATTTAATGTGTTATAATTCATTACGGTCATTATTTTAATGCTCAGGATGAAATGTTTGGCCAGCAGGAAGCCAATTAAGCTTGTTTCTGTGTGGTTTTTATATGTCCCCATCAGTGTTTGAGTACTTTCTCAATTTCCAGAGTCAAAAGACACTCCAGGCTTATCTTGGACTTTCCGGGCTGCAGACAAGTCATTTCCCAACAAGTGTTGGTTTCTTTTAATGGGGAATCACATACAGAATCCAAGATCTTGGTACTACATATGCTATTGCTACTAATGGATAACTGCTTCTAGGCCCTTTTAATGGACAGAGTTGGAAAATATGTATATATGTGTATACACAGACATTCATATATGTGTATATATTTATTTGTAATTTATATAGGTACAACTATAAAGGTATACATGTACACAGGTGCATACATACACATATGCCTGCAGTTATTTTTGCATCTATCTATTAAAAACTATGATTTTGGGCCTCCCTGGTGGTGCAAGGGGTTAAGATGCAACCTATGAAGCTATCCACAGCCACTGCATTACAAGTTTGATCCCTGGCCAGGGAGCTACCCACATGGCGTGGCAGATCTCTCATGCCTCACCCACTGCTCCCCTCAGCAGTGTGTTTCGATCCATCTGTCTGTTCTGTTTCCCCCCTCTGTCTCTGGTGAATCCTCTCACCCCCCCCACACACCTCTAGCCTGTGCCCCAGTTCTTGTATGCATAAATAAATAAATCTTTTTTAAAAAAAAACTATGGTTTCAACCATTTTCTATCACACTCAAATAACACAAGGTATATTTCTATTTTATCCATTTCCACATGGAATTCCCTTTTCAGCGGTAGGAATCTGACTATGACTCCATTATCATATATCTACATATGGATTTGAATCCTTTCTCTGCTGCTTTACAAAGGATGTGACCTTGAACAAATACTGAACTTCTCCAAACTCTAATTTTCTCATCTTCCATAAGTTATAATTAATTTCAGGGGCTTGGTAGTTTTTAGAAACATAAATAAAAAATAAATAGCAATGGCTAGCATGTGATAAATGCCCAATAAATGTAATGCATTGTTATTATCAATATTATTATTTATTAATATTATTATTATCATCTTATTAGGTTTCATAATAACTATATGATCTTGCTTGATAGTCGTCATTTGAAAGTATAATGACTTAAGTAGGACAATTCTTATCTAGTATCCAGGTGTTCCCATTTATTTCCAGGGTTTTTCTTTCACAAAACTTTTCTCTAGTAGTTTGTAATAGGAATTAGAAACATCTATTTTGTTAATTATACTTAACAGAGTACATGTATTTTCTTTGCTTTTTAGTGAGGGAAAAAGAAGAGCAACCACAGACATGACTGCAATCAAATTTCAGCTCATATCACTGTCTCTTTTCCACAAGATAGTAGTACTGCATTAATAGCTGTCAACAGGCTTGATTACCCAGTGCTATTAGACAGCTGAGAATAATGAATTCAGGTGTCATCATATCAACCAGGATGTATAGAAATGTCCTTCTCAATTAAGTTTTGAACAGGTAATCCATATTTACTTTTAAATCTCCTACTAGCAATTAAAGGTCTTGAAATATAAACACCTACCAGTTTCAAAGGCTACAAAAATTATTAAAGAGTTTTATGTCTCTGTAAAGGGTGATAAGAATATAATGCTTTATTAACATTTTAACTGCTGTGCTCCTGTTTTTTTCATGTCTTGACAATTCTTCTCTTTACTCCTTTACTTGTGATTAATTAGAAGTAGTAAATACATCTTAGCTTTAAAATAGCACAGCTCTGGCCCTCCCTGGTGGCGCATGCAGTTGAGCGCAGCACTGTAAAGCTGTCTGCAGCCTCTGCAGTGCCGGTTTGATCCTGGCTGGCTGGGGCAAGAATCCCACATGGCGAGGAGACCTCTCCTGTCGCGCCCGCTGCTCCCCTCAGCAGTGTATTTCATCAGTCTGCCTGTTCTGTTCCCTGCTCTGTCTCTGGTGAATCCTCTTACCCTCCCGCTCATCTGACCTGTACCCCAGTTCTTGTATAAAAATAAATAAATAAAACAAAAATAAAATTGCAAAGCTCCTTTATTTAAAGCTGAAGTCTACTTTTTCCACTGACCTTTATTTGTATCTTGTGATATATCAGATACGGCTGGGAACTGGGACCACAGAGTAAAAGGCATAGCTTATTTCTTTACCTAGTTCATAATCTAGTGAACACAGTCTGCAGAAGTATTTGCAGAAAGAATTGTTACAGAGGGACAGCCCATTTTGGATACTGGAAATGTTCTACATGTGCTAATAACTGCTGTATTATTGGGGGGAATACGAGGCTCTGACTCTGAGGACAGGAGCCATGACTTAGCCACTCTTATATATCCAATGACTAGAGCATCATAGCTTCTCAAATAGCTAAATATGGGGGAGTGAACAAATACATAAATCATGAATAAATAAAATATTTCATAGTGTAGGCTAAGGGGGATCCTACCTACCACAAACACCAGAGAACTCCTACATGGAGGTAGTGAGGAAACTAAATAATAAACTCTGATTTCTCAGTGAGTTAATGCAAATAGGTTTTTAGCAATCAAGATTAGGTAGCTTTTTCATGTCAACCCACTCTCAGATAACAACCATAGACTCCAAAAATTAAAAAAAAAAAAAAAAAAAAAAAAACGATAATATAAAGACACACTAAAGGAATTAAAAGAAACTGGGAGTATATTTACATCTGAAAGAAGTAAATGGCACCAGGCAGTTTTCCTGTTTTGATGAAGTTTTTTGTTTGAGTCTAGGCCCTAGTCATAAATTGGTTGGTGATTACAATTCTGATGGAATATAGTTTTATCTAGAATATAGTCTTATTAGTTCAGAGAGTCATGGGATACAGTGTAGGGAGACCACACAGCTGGAATGTAAAGAGGGAAATTCTGAGGAGACAGTTTTGGGCACAGTGGGGAGAGGAGCATTCTGTAGATATGCTTCTTCCAAACCTCTGGCTGGCCCAGCATGTTTGCCTTCTCAATGTGCAGGCAAATGTGATGCTTTGGGAATTTTTGTGGAATTCCTGCAAATACTTGCTTTATGTTTAGCTATAATATGTAAAATGTTTATATAGAATGATGTTAGATGGAATTGCTTTTAACTGGGTGAGCTTTAGTACTCTAAAGTAGTGCATTAATAGATTTTTGTTTCATTATTATCATCATTGTTCATAAAGACAACCATTTTATAAAAAGAACCTCTATAAAAAGTCTCCAGCATCAGGGTCTCCCTGGTGACGCAGGGGTTCAGTCTCAGCACTATCAAGCTATCTGCAGCCACTGCAGCACGAGTTTGATCCCCAGCCAGGGAGCTAACCCACATGGCACAGCTGACCTCTCCTGTCTTACCCTCTGCTCACCTCAGCAGTGTACCTCAGTAGATCCGCATGTTCTGCTCCCAGTCCTGTCGCTGGTGAGTCCTCTCACCCTCCACACCTGTGGCCTAGGCCCAGTTCTGGTATGCACAAGTAAATAAAAATAATTAAAAAAAAATCTCCAGCATGTTTGCAGCTGGCAGCTGAGTGTGTTAGGGGAGGTACCATATTCCCTGCCCCATTAACACACCACCTTGGACTAGGTACCAGGAACAAGGTAGGAGGTGAGTGGTCAGGTGAAGTTATATAACCTGGAAGACCAGGGGGGAAGAGGGAAGTTGCACACTTGCTTCTCCAGCTTTGATTTGTACCCAGGACTTGGGGTGACTTGGAGAAGATGCATGGAGGAGAGACATGTTAGAGACACTTGGAAGAGACAAAGAGGTGACAGAACATGGGGATGTTGACAATGGCAGCCATTACCTTGATTCATATTTTTATATCTCTCCTTTTGTCCCAGACTTGCTTGGCCGATTTGCTCCCTTCTTACTATTCCCTGCCGAAAGGCACCATGGACTTGTGGCATGCTCTCAGCCTCAGCAGCCCAGCTTCAGGCCCACCCTATTGGTTGGGCATTTGTCCAAGAGGGAATAGGTACTTTGGGGTGTTTAATTGGGAAACTATTAGCAATATCCTTTCCTCTCTTCTATTTCTATACACACTAACTAAAGATATTTTGCACTGAGAATCTGCTTTCTTTTTTATGTGTTGGATGGCAGTACCCTGTTTTAGAGAGTGCACCCTCATGGGTTGGTGTCTCTGGTGTCCCTTGATCACAAACTAATAACTGCAGAGTTGTGTTACATGAAAGGATGGAAAATATTTTATGTTTATTAGAAATATTTACTTGAGGAAGCAAGGAATTTGGCAAGCAAACTTGATATTTAAATGATATTTCCTGTGACATTCCACAGGGCTCAGTAGATAATCTAGAATCTCAACTAACCATTGCAAACTACTATCAAGAAATACTTAGTGTTCCAGTGATGAAGCATATTATTTAGGACTTGAAGACTATTTTCTCAGAATAGTACCACACAGTTCTAAAATGTTCATCTCTGGTAACCTCTCATAGAATAGCTGAGAGGTAAAACCATGCTAACATGGACCAAAGAGACTTATCCGGTCACAACACGCTCTTTGCTAATCTTTGTTATTGGAGATTCAAGCCAGAATGCAAAGGGAGAGACATAGAGTTCCCATCCAGCAGGTATAAGACCCCACTCCCACATAGCTCTGGTGTTCCATTTCAAGTAATGATCCTGTTCTTCCTTGTTTCATAAGGAAAGCTCTGAAATTGCATTAAAATACCTTAAGTATAATTATGAAATATTTCAAAAGACCAATAACTTTGCTTAACACAATCTTTTTCTTAAAGATTTACTTATTTATGATACAAGAACTGGGATACAGGCCAGAGATACAGGGAGGGTGAGAGGATTCACCAGAGACAGAGTAGGGAACACAACAGGCAGACTAACTGAAATACACTGCTGAGGGGAGCAGTGGGCAAGTCAGGAGAGTTCTGCTGTGCCATGTTGGTAGCTCCCTGGCCAGCTGGGGATCAAACTAGTCCTTTGGAGGCTGCATATAGCTTCACAGTGTGGTGCTTAACACCTTGCCCACCAGGGAGGCCCTTAACACAAACCTTGACATAAAAGATGACAGAGATTCTGCAGGGATGGGGGAGGGAGGGGATCAAAACAGGGAGGGAAACACAGGGACTGTGGTGATGGTGCACTGGTGAATTGGTGGTGGGAATTTTTACGGGGACTACACCTTAGAGGAGAAAGCACACATTGTATAAAAATGAACAATGATGTAAATATATATATATATAAATTATCTATAAAAAAGATGATCTTAATTTAATGGTTGATACATATTTCAAACTATACACTGAAGCCAGAATTTTTTAAAAGTACTTTGGAAACCAAAAACAGTGAGGAGAAGTTTTGGGAATAGGTTTTATGCTTCTATTTGGTATTTGGAGGGAAAACTGTAGGTCTCTACAGCCCACCTAACCATCAAATACTGGCTCATTCCAGTTAATAAACATTGAAAAATCTACCTATAAAATGTTAGATTTACCTACCTACTAAAAGTTCACTGAATTTTGATCTTTGAAGACATCACTCTTCTGAAGACAGTATTGGAAGAACATTTCATTTCCTGGTAACTCATTCTTAAATCTGTCCTTTTCATTGTCTGCCAAAAAACTAATAATAAATTGTTAAATATCTAAAATTACTTTCCCTATTGTAACAAACAATTTTCAGGTGTACATTTTGCTCCTTATTGGAAGGAGACACATTTCCGGTCTACTTTTTTTTAAAATAAAGATTTATTTACTTATACAAGCACTGGGTACAGTCAGAAGCGCAGGAGGGTGAGAGAATCCACCAGAGCCAGAGCGTGGAGCAGAACAGGCAGACTGACGAAGTACACTGCTGAGGGGAGCAGCGGGCGCAGCAGAAGAGGTCTGCGCACCATGTGGGACCCTCGGCGGCGGCCAGGGATGGAACCGGCACTGCAGAGGCTGCGAGCAGCCTCACAGCCCAGCACTCAACCACTGTGCCACTGGGGAGGCCCTCCAGTCTGCTTTTTGCTTCTTATTGTAAGGGAACTAAAGTTTTGATGTCATCTCAAAAAAAAAAAAAAAATTAAAAGATGTGTTTGTGTAAGTTGTCTAGTCAAAAGAGATGATAGTGTAACAGCCATTATAATATCTTACAACGTAGAGGTTAAAAACTAGGATGTAGTAACTCTAAATGCAAGTAAGGTAAGGTGTGTGGGTTTGGGAATGAAAAATGTATTGAAGGTGGGTATTCTGAAGGTCCTTAAGATAATTTAATGTAGGAAGGGTAGATGAAATGGTATTAAAAAGAAAGCAAAGGAAAGTATTGAAGGTCTGAGAGAGATTTTTTAAAAATATTTTATTTTATATAATTCTTACCTCTTTTTCATCTTTGCACAATGTATGCATTTTCATTTTGGTTATATTCCCCTTACAATTGCACCACCCCCTTATTTTGACTCTAGTCCTTCCTTTCCCCGCTGCTCCCTCCTCCCTCCCAGAGAGATTTTGGTAAAAAAATTTGTGTGCTCAGGTGAATTACTATGAAAGATTCTGTTAACTTGAATATCAGCAGTGCACCTATGTAACACCAAGCATTAGTCCTTTTTATATATAAAAATTAAGGTATTCTAAAACTGCTTTCACTAGTTTCTTATAACAAATTAAAGACTGTTCAGGTAATCTAAAAATCTTGGTGCTCTTCTACCCTCAGGTCACCTGCAAAAACCCTTATCATATCAGCATTGCTGAGCCTTGTCAAAGCAATAGATCTGTTATAGGACAGGGAGAGGGGCAGCCCAAACCCTGCAAACCTGCCTATTCTAAATGGGTTCTGCCATCCGCCACATCAACACAAAACATATGACTTTAATGGGAAGGAACTTTAATAAAACTAGGAAACAATACAGGTAAGGCAAAGAGTCTAGTTTCTAAATGAAGCACCCAAAGTTACCCGTCCCCTCATGGGTAAAAGTCCATCCATATGGGAATGGCCCAGAACAAGGCCCCAAAGCCTGCTGCAAGTCTAAAGCATCTTCCAGTGGGGACCCACAGAAAAGGGTCAGAAACTACCAGACAAGCCCGGAAGGAAAAGAGCAAAATCAACATCAAGATAAAAGCTGCCCTTGTCACCTCCCCACGGGTCTCACCCACATCTGTGTCACCTAGTCCATGACCAAAAGACAAGTGCAGTTTCTTCATGTGTCTCTAGGCTCCATGCGTCTCCTCCAGGTCTCCTAGCTCCATCCTGCTTCCTTCCTCAGTCTCTTCTGCCACTTCTCCTCTTCCTGCTCAGCTCCACCCTCCCTTGGGTGGGGCAGGGAACCTCCCCCTTTCCTGGGGACCACCCTTTTACAGATCTACTCTTAAAAATCCTCGTCACTCTGAGTAATTGTTTTGTAAAGATCTATAAGTTTGTTCTATGACTATTCATTCTGAAATAGTAAAGTTTTTGTCTTAAGGGGGCTCTTAAGATACCTAATAAAATTGTTTTTCATTGTGAGAAACAAACATGTCAATTTGAGTATATTGATAACTCATAGGAAGTATTCTCATAGGATTGTTACACCTTTTCAACATAAATGTAACTAATGAGGTTGTTCTAAAATACATAAGAGGGCCTCCCCTGGTGGCACAGGTGGTTGAGCACAGCACTGTGAAGCTGTCTGGCTGGTGAGAATCCCACATGGCGCGGCAGACCTCTCCTGACTCGACCACTGCTCCCCTCAGCAGTGTATTTCGTCAGTCTGCCTGTTCTGTTCCCCGCTCTGTCTCTGGTGAGTCCTCTCACTCTCACACGCATCTGGCCTGTACCCCAGTTCTTATATGCATAAATAAGTAAATCTTAAAAAATAAATAAATAAAAATAAAATACAGAACACTTTCTAAAACCTAAAAAGCCAGTCAATTATAAAAGGGCTAAAAAGAAGTTACTCAAAAGCCAAAAAAATCCCACATCATTTCAGACTAAATTTGCTGAGGCTATGAAAAGGTATACTAATCTAGCCCAGAAGAAGCCAAGCATTTTAGCAGACTCCTTCATTAGCCAGCCTTGCTCTGACATCAGGTGCAGGCTCCAGAGACTAAATCAAGGGCGACTAGTGAAAGCCATTCACAAGTTCACAAACTCGAGACTAATACAAGAGAGGGCAAGGTGACTCTGGGGATTCATTCCATGAGTTTACACCAGATATACGCAGAAAGCTGCAAAAACTTAGGCATGGGACCCCAAACTCTGCCACACCAGCTTTTAGAAGTGGCTTTTAAAATCTTTAATAACAGGGACAAAAGTAAAGGGTTAAAAAGGGAAAGTAAGTTGTGACGAGGGTGTACAGGCAGGCTCCATTAATAGGCGCCGCCATTGCCAGCACCCTGCAGACCCAGGCTTCCCCAGGCTCAGAGAGACAGAAGACTAACCAGCCTGGAAGAAAGAATGGAGGAGCTTCAATGGCCCCATGAGACAGGTACAACATCTGGGCACTGGAGCAGGAAAGGCACACTGAAAGGAAGATGCAGGAGGCCAGAATGCAAAAGCCCACCAGGGGGCCCACCTGGGGGCAGGAATGCAGAAGCCTGCCTGGAAAATTCAGACAATGAACCTCTCCCAGCCCTTGAATCTTTTCACTGCCTTGCAAATCCAGTCTCCCACCTGACTTCTCCTTACCCTATAAAAGCCTGCCTCCCCCTGACAACATGCCTGGCTTCAAGGACCCCCACCTTGGGTCCATTAATTCCACCTGGGGCGCAATAAATTTTCCCTTCCTTTGAGAAAGCTTGGCCTGGCTCTTTACCGCACCAAACCTTTCACACACAACTCAGAAATCCACTTGGGCAGTGCCTGAGGTACAAGCAGGACGGCCACTGGAAAAGGGATTGTCCCCTTCTCTGAAGGTAGTAGCCACCAGACCCCAGCCTGTTCCTCCTGGATGACCAGTGACACCTCCTGGATGACAAATGATGGGGCCCAAGGATGTCGCCAGCTCCCCAGCTGACCATCTCCATGGCTGAGCCTGGGGTAACCCTGGATGTCGCAGGTAAGAATATTAATTTTCTGATTGCTACGGGAGCCACTTACTCTGTACTCACCCAGCATTCCGGACCCACCTTCCCCTCCTCACAAAATATAATAGGAATGGCCTTAGCAAAATCAAAGGGCACTGGATCTGCTTACTGCTGCCCAAGGAAAAACATGTCTATTTACAGGACAAAACACATGATTCAGTAACTATTTTTTTTTTTTATTTCTGATCCTCTTCAACCTACATATAGGACTAGCTCTTTTTATATTTAACTATTTTATATAGTTTTGCTTCTAAGGGACGACAGTTTCCTGCAAACTCCCCTTTACATGACTGGTGCTCCTGAACACTTGGAATTGTCTTCATCCTGTAGCCCCAAAAGGGCCAAATGACTGTCCATGTTACCGAGGGCCCTTATACTTCTCACTCTTCTCTTTAAACCTTAACACACACAATCTCCTAATTAAATGTGTTTCTTCTAACCTGGGGGAGCTCTTCAAGTTTAAACTCCTCCTCCAAGCAAAAAACAGCTGATCTACACAAGAGAAACAGCCTGTCCAGATGCCCCAACCCTTGCCTCCTTCTGAAACCAGCAACAATGGGCAGCTCAGGGACTAGTGTTAGGGAGACCATATCCCAGGCCCATGTAGGTAGGGCCAGCAATGTGTCCCACTGCAGCAGGAAGCAGCTACAGAAAATGAACCTCCTCCCTCCAATTCCCCAAAAGATTTCGGGCCAGATATGGTGGAGTGGGGGTGGGGGGATGATGGGGTACAGGAATAGAAAAAAACTGAAAAGGAGGCACCACAAGACCAGAATGAGGGGGGTAGGGGTAGAAGAGATTAGCATAGTCATGGACACAGCTATGGAAACCAAGATCCTTAGGTCCCAAAGCCTAGATTACAAAGCATAACTCCCAAGCAGGGATCAGACTGCTATAGGGAGTGTCTGGAGCACAGGCCCAAGGGTAAAGATAGGGAGATTGAGCCCTTGTGGAATCTCCTGTCCCTTTCAGATTCTGCATAGTTATCCAAAATCAGCAACTAACCTGAAGGCTCACAAGGAGTGACCCCTCCCAAACTGAAGACTATATCAGTACAGTCTCTGCACAGGCTCGGGGCAGCACTCCCTCTGCCCACCTGTGCCTATGCAGGTGCCTCTTCACCCACTCTCACCCAGGTTTTCTCACCCAGGTGAGAAACCCAGGTTTCTCACCCGTGACCTGTCCCATGCCGGGGCTTCTCCTCACTGACCTCCCTCAGAGGAGGCCGCTCTCCTCAAAGCCATCCGCCTGCAACTACACAGGCCTCTCTCAGAAAACCTGTCCCTCTCTGGGCAGCTCTTCCTACCTGCTTGTGTCTATGCAAGTTTCCTTTATTCCTCCATCCCTTTCCCTAATAAACCTGCTCTTTAAATATAACTAATGTCTCTGCCACGTGGAGAAACTCGCCTGGGAAACTCACCGAGTGCTGCTGAAAGGGGAGCTCTGGTGAAAACTTTCCCAGAGTGAACCTGATGAGGTTTTTGGAGTTAGTGCTGGGTCCTTGGGTTCACTCTGGGAAAGGTGTCAGCAGAGCTCCCCTATCAGTGGCACGCGGCGAGTTTCCGCGGGTGAGTTTCTCCA